ATACGCAAGGCATCTTATAAACAGTGCAGGGGTAATATTTATTTGCTAGAAAAGTAATCTCCACGGCTCACAGTCGTCAGTGCTCACTCAGCAAAGCATGAGCGTCGCCTTCCCCCAGGATTCACATATACTTTACTTTCTTCCCTTCCTTAATTGCTTATTGTTAATTATTTATTATGTATTTATTCATTCATTTTTAAAGATGAAGTCTCACAGTGTAACTCAGGTTGGCCTGGAACTCACCAAGTAATTCAAGTTTGATTGACACTTATAGTAATCCTTCTGCCTCAGCCCTCCTGCTATAGATCTGTGAATCATGATACTTGACTTGAATTCTCTCTGTCTCTGTCTCTCTGTCTCTGTCTCTGTCTCTGTGTGTGTGTGTGTGTGTGTGTGTGTGTGTGTGTGTGTGTGTGTGTGTGTGTGTATGTGTGTGTGGTTCCTTCCCCTTTTCTATCTTGTTTTCCTGGTTAATAAAAGAACTGCACCTCTTTTGGAGCTAGAACTCTGATTTCCCCCTAAGTGTCCCACCCTCAAGGAGGAGGCGCTTCACGGATGTTTCTCCAGAGAAGACAGACAATGGCCATCAGTGCCACCTTATACCTGTCAGGACAGCCAGTATTGAAAAGGCAAAAATTAACTCAGGGGTAAACAGAACCCCCTGAACACCGGTGGTAGGGTTTAAATTAGTACAGTCATGAGGAACAATATGGAGGCTCCTTGAAAAACACTGAAGTGAGCTGGGGTTGACTGACCTTAGCTACGGTGGTGACCAGGTCAGTGGGGGTGTGTGGCTCGTTTATGCTGGCCTCAGTGGGGTGTCTGGGTAACAGGGGCTTCTCCCCACATAGTTGCTCGCCTTTCGCTGAATAGAAGGCTTGCTAGGTTGGACAGAAGACTCAGTGGTTAATAGTATGTATTACTCTTGCAGAGGACCAGACTTAGGTTCCCAGTACCCACTTCAGGTGGCTCACAGCCACCTGTCCTCTATCTCCAGGAGGCTCGACATCCTCTTCTGGATTTGCAAGGTCTCTGTTTCCTTCATATCCTTCATATTGCTCCAATAAAGCATATATGGTTAAGATCAGAGTCAGTGTGGGAGGGTCCTGCCCAGGACATAGATGCAGGGATGAGAAGCATTTGTAACCCACACTGCATCTCCTCATTTTAAATACAAGGAAACTGGGTGGCAGGTAGGTTGACTTCCCCAAGATCACATAAGCTGAAGGAGACAGGACTGAACCCAAGCAACCTGACTCCAGACTCTGTGTTATAATGGCTATGCTGAAGGCTGGGGCGATAGCCTGCCTCACAAGCATGAGGGCCCCATTTGGATCCCGAGTATCCAAATTAAAAACTGTGACACTGGCCCTGTAGCCAGGGGACAGTCACGTGGATCAGAGTCACGTGAAACCAGCCAGCCTAGTGAAGCAATGGGCTCCAAGCTCAGTGAAAGACCCTGTTTGAGAGAAGAAAACCAAGAAGGTTTCTCTCTTTGAGAGAAGAAGGAAAGCAATTGAGGAAGACACAGACGTCAGTCTCTGTCCTCCACATACATGCCCCCACACATGTGTCTGCAAATACATGTACACACACACACATGAGCATGGACCTATACCATACACAAGCTTACACACATGCTCACACTCATGTGACATGCACCTATACCACACAAGTAGGGGAGCAGAGCTAGGCTTCGTTACCTAGGAAACGGTGATGTTTAACCAGAAGGCATACCGTGCCTACCCTTACACCCTCCATTCAGCTGGTGTCAGCATAAAAGCATAAGACTGGAAATTCACATTCCAGTGGGTGGAGGTCAAATGTCCCCACCATGCACGCCTTACTTCGCAAGTCCAGAGAGCACCTTCTCCCTTGATTTCTGTCACTGGTTCTCTACAGAATCTCTGCCACATCCATGGGATGCTGACTCAGCACACTCGAATGGCCTGGCACTCAGGGTCCTCCAAGAGGATGTGGGGGCAATTTGGAAGTGGGCATGGGCCTTTAAAGGAGCTGGGCCAGAGGTCCTGGCTCCTCTGGCAGCTGTGTGGCCTTGCAAATAATACTCAGCTTCTCTGCACTTTGGCTTAAAAGTTGGGGTACCACTCTCTATTCATACTTGATTTGTTTTTCCTTAATCAGACTCATAGCGCAAAGGACTCTTAGTGACTCGTAATCTTGGGTATTCTTAGGAATCACCTGTGAATAGCCAAATCAGCAGAGTCCTGGTCCTCAAACCCATCATTGGGTGGCCCAGACCTGAGTGCAAAGAGTCTTTGTCACTAGCCATCAGCAAGTAGTTCCTGATGTAGATATCCCACACATAAAGCATGAACAGTGGGGTCAAGTATCACCTACTGCTGTCACCGTTGTCACTGTGATACTACTGGGGAAACATAATGCGTATCTCATACAATGAGACAATTCATCTTTGTTTTTTATCTACAATTATCTGTATTCCATTAAAAAATACTTACGATTGCAGTCTAAGGTATCCCAAGTGCTGTTGGGAACACCAAGTTTCAGTTTCTTCTCCCTAAATACACCAACCAGGCACAAGGCAAGAACAGGCAAGGCCTGCCCCAAAGATGAAAGGCATCTGCCTCAGACTTTACAGCTGAAATAAGGCTACTACAGTAGCCAAAGCTTCACATTTAAGGCAGAGAACCTCTTTCCAACTTGTGGCCCGGATTATTAAAGAGTCGGCCCACCTGGCTTCAACATTCTGTCCTTCCAAGTGACTTCACGTCCAAGGCAAGGTGGGTTTTCCAGAAGAGCAGTGGTGGGCCTCTGTCTTCCCCTCTTCCTACACGTACCCTGCAAATGGGGCTCGGATGATGGTCTCTAGAACACTATTTGTTTCTTATCTCGGTCTCCAGGAGTAATAACGCTGAGATATCTGCTGCTGTCTGTTATTGCAAAGCTAGAGCAGAAACCGCGTTGCAGAAGCTATGGCTTGGATTGGAGGAGCCCGGAAGAGAAGGGGCAGCAAGGACAGTGTGTGGGAGCTGAGAAGGGCCTTGGGGAAGACACCTGGCATGAAATATGGGGTAGGGTTCACTGGGAGCAAAGCCACTGCCACTTGAGGGTGCGTGAGAAGTAGGCTCAGGAGACAAAGCTGTCTGTGGCCAGCTGCTTATGGCCAGCACCAGGCTCGTCCTGCCTGCCTGAGACAGATTCCACCTCAGTCAAGTTCATGCACAAGTGTGGTCAGATGAGACGATTAGCTGTTCTTTTCCAAAAGAGCAAACCAAGGCCAAAGCAAAATGAGATGAGATGGGGTGGGAGGGGTGGGTGAGGCAGGGTGAGAGGGGGTGAGAGGGGGTGGGGTGAAAAAATGTAATTCACAGGTAATTCACCATTATCTGGAGTTTTGTAAACATTAAATTTAACAATGGAGGGAGCAAACCTGAAATGTTCTACTATTGTTTGTGTTGACTGAGGTTTTATTAGTATATTTTGAGTTTAATTAACTGCTTCTGGCCTCTATCATTTGGGGGCACACGGCACAGCAACAGCCCTGCCCGTTCAGACACTGTTGGGGTGAGATGGTTTCAGAGGTGACCAGACTGAAGTTGCTTTCCAAAGTCTATGCAAAAGCTGGGCCTCAGATGGGAGACAATGATGACCCGGTGTAGAAAAAACAAAGTGCTACATAGTTATTCAACTTTACACTCTTAGCTGCTGTGTGAATCTGCAAGGTGACTTTCCAGAGTCTGAGATCGGCGTGGGTGCCCACACTCGTGTGTAAAGTGTAGTTTCCACCCCCTACCGCCTGGGCCCTGCCACAGTTGCAGTCCCCAAATAACACACAGGACGCTATATTAATTATGAAGCTGTTGGCCGTTTGCTTGTTTCTTGCTGGCTAGCTCTGACCTAAGTATTTAACCCATAATTGTTAATCTAAGTATTTCTCTTACTGGAGAAATGGTCCGGACCTCTTACTCCTCTGGCGGCCTACGTTGTGTCTGCCTGTGTCTCTCTTTCCCAGAATCCTCCTCAACTCCTAGTCCCACCTATCTTGCTTCCCTATTGGTCAACAGTGCTTTATTGACATATACACAGGACTTCCCCATCACTCATGAGCACATGCATGTGTGTTCCAATCAGTGTGCATGTACAGGGGTGCATGTATATGTATGTGTGTGCGTGTGCATGTGTGTGCACATGTGTGCACATGCCTGCGTTTGTGTTCACACACGTGTGTGTGTGTGTGTGTGTGTGTGTGTGTGTGTGTGTGTGTGTGCACGCACATGCTCCTGTGGAGGTCTGAGGTCAGCACTGAGACCTCCCTCAGTTACTCCATTTTTGAAACTGGGTCTCTCATTGAACCTGGGCTCTGCAATTTAGCTGGAATGCCTGGCTAGAAAACACAGTGGGGACCCACCTGTGTCTGCCTCCCCGGTGCTGTGATTACAGGTAGAGGCTGTCCCAGCTTTTCCTGAGGTCTCAGACCTAAGCTCAGATGGTCGTGCTTATGCAGAGAAGACTTTACTGACTGAGCCTTCTCCCTAGCACCCCCCAAAGTCAATTTTAACAGCTTTTACAGTCCTATTATTGGTTCTATGGAGACTGATTTTATGGAGATTTTTCCTGGCGTTCCCAAGTGCTCCTCAAAATTATCTGTTTTAATTATACATTTAAAGATTTACATTTAAAATTTAACAAGATTAAATTTATAACTAAATCTTTTAAAGACTGACCTGAAAAAATGGTCAGGAGAACTAAGTTATGTGTTAAATATAAAACCACTAATACAAGGCCTGAAACATGGTGAGTGATTAATTTCAATGACAGCGGCTGGTTCTCACATGACCCTGATTGCTCCTGGAGGCCCTGAGTATGAGTTGAGCGGCTGAGCAAGGGACAGACCACCCACCTTCTGACTTCAAGCCAGTGCCCTATGGCACCCTGTTTCCATGAACTCAACATGATTCTGGTGGTTCGTGTCACTCCTTAAATATATCCATGCAATTTCCAGGTGCGATCACCAATATAATTTTAAGACTCAGCTCATAGGATGTGTAATAGAATACATAAGAATTTTTTCAGTTGGTTGAGAATTCTCCAGTTAGGTAAGAACAGGCAAGACTCAACAGAAAGCCTGACCAAGTGACCTTTTCCAGCAGGTACCAAAGGTAGCTGACTCCCCACAGAGCCCTTCCTCCTGACACCCTGACTCCTTGCTCTGTCTGTCACTGAGATGTGCCCATGCCACTGAAAACACAGGAAGGCCCAGAGCTGCCCACACAAGCGCCTCATTCCCTTTGGTCCTGATTAGGTTACCAATAAGAGTGGTAGTGGCATTTCCTGGCTCACACTTAGCCTTTCTGACCTCAAGGAGAGTAATGAGCTTGGCAATAAGCCAAATGACAGGGGCAGCCCCCAAAGGGAACAAGTTTTAGTGTCGAGCAGAACAATACTCATTGCCTGGTTTCACTCCTGCACCAGCTATGTCATTTGGACAAGCTACGAGCCACTCTGTGCCCTGCTCTCATCACCTTCAAATCAGAAGGCAAGTGACCCTTCTGCCCAGGACCTGGTGTTTGAGGGAGAAATGCTAAGCGAGACTAAGATGAGCAGAATGGAAATCACGTGTGTCGAGAGCCCGGCCGGCGTACAGCGGGTGCCCCACGAGTCACGGCATTCAGGAATCAGTCAACGCTGCAGTCTGGCTACGTCAGAGGTCTGCACTGTCCTGCATTTTCTTCTCTCCTGCCTAAACTTAATGATCTTCTTCACAGGTGCATACTCCTTTCCCTGGTAGTAAATGATACTCTTGCTCCCGCTAGGATTTGCTGAGCCAAGAAGAGATGACTCGAGCCTTCGCAGCCCTGCTTGATTTTGACCCAGGAAAAGTTGGCTTGAAATGTCTAGCGTTCGCACTCTGTCTGGGGTGACTTGGGTCTTAAGCTTCACTTTCCTGGGCCAGGAAAGAGCAAGCCATTAGGAGTTTATGTATTTTTCTTCTTTCGTGAAGTTAAAGGCGATACTAAAAAAGACTCACTTTAAAGGGGAGAAGCACTGTGTCTTGAACGTGTAATGTCCCTCAGCCCGTGTGTGTGAACTCTTAGTTCCCAGTGGGTCACTGGGGAGTGGTCTTGAGAGTTCTCTATCCCACCTGCTTTCTGTTACTGGCTGCAGATACAATGGAACCAGTCCCTCAAGCTTCTGCCGCCATGCCCTCCCTGCCTTCATGTGTCCCCTCAAACTGTAAGCCAAGATAAACCCTTCCTTCTGCCTCAACCTCCTGTGTGGCCCTAATTATGTCTGCACCAGGCCCAACAGGACTCTGTTTCTAGTAGAGGGTGCTGGGCACAAAGTAGTTAACAAGTAATGGTCCTGAATTTCTGTTTCCGGGACGTAGATGTCATCTCTTTAAATATTAGGTGTCAAGGGGCCATGTGTCTGCCCAGTAGAACCATCTGTTGTCAGGAAATTATCCTTCCTGTCAGTGAAGAGCAACAGATATCCTCCCAGCGTTAGCCCAGGGAGAGACTCAGGGGCGGGAGTAGGGGTGGGGGGGTTGGGGGCACCTCCCCTGAAAGAGGAGGGGTTACCCTGATGGCACAGGGTGAGTGGCAGACACTTCTACAGCTTTTTAGAAGCAGCCAATTCTAACTATTGAGTAAATAAAAACATGTCTGAAGCTTGAGGTACGAGCAAGTGTGTTCTAGAAAAAGTAATGGTTGACACCGAGCCAATGAAACCCGAAGAAACTGGACAAAACATGTGGGCTCAACACGCATTTTCATTGGACTGTCTCTTCCTCCCCCAACCACGCCTTATAGAAACTGTTCCTGTCTTTAGTGTAATACTGGTTTTTTATTGTTTGAGAATCTCATACTTGTGTATAATGTATTTTAATCAGATTCCCCTCCCACACCCACACTCTAGAGGCTGTATGACCTGGGAGAGGGGAGGGGAGCGGACGAATGAGGCAAACTGAAGTCTCACGCAGTAGCCAGTTTATCCAGAGCATCAGACAGCTGTGAGGCTTAAGAAGAGTAAAGTGCCAATCACAAGGACAGGCTGCACGTGGCAAAAACAAAACAAAACAAAACAAAAAAAACATGTTTTTCCATAGCGGCCTATAGACAAGTAACAATAACCAGCTGTAATGAGAAACCTAGCATGAACTCACTCCTGTCAGCTGCACCCGGGAGGCCATGGAGGCACAGCCCTCAGAACTTCCCTCACAGGACTCCATTGTTGACTCTGCTCTGACAGCACCTTCCTCCTCTGTGGAACGCCCCCTGCCAAACACACACACACACACACACACACACACACACACACACACACACCCCTCCCTACCAACCTCATGCTCTTTTCTATTATTGATTACTTTTTTTGTTGTTTTGTTTTTGTTTTCATGACAGGGTTTCTCTGTGGCACTATCTCCTGTAGACCAGGCTGGCCTCGAACTCACAGAGATCCTTCTGCCTCTGCCTCCCAAGTGCTGGGATTAAAGGCGTGCGCCACCAACGCCCGGCTTGTTGATGACTTTTTTTCTTTTCTCATTTGCTGTACACTAGTGTGTGGGCGACCCACCAGAGGCCACCCCCTAAAGAAAACTGACTCTCCCTCCCCTAGAAACCATCAACTGTAAATAGTTCTTTAGTGTATGTGTTTGGTGTGTAGCGGTTGAGGGGTGGGGAAAGAGAGAGAGAGAGAGAGAGAGAGAGAATATGTGTGTGGGGGCACATGCATGCAAAGGTCAGAGGTCACTTGAGTTAACCCTTTTCTTCCACAGTTTGGACTCAAGAGAGGAGGCTCAGGTCATTAAGCATGGCGGCAAGCACCCTTATGCACTGGACTATCCTGCTATCCCAAGAATATTTATTGTTTTATTAGTTCCAGCAGTAATAGTATTAACCATACATTGACATATATTGTGACACTGCCTCAGACTTTCAACTGGTCTTCAGATTACAGGCTGCTTTTTTTTTCTTTTCATTTTTTAAAATTTAAATTAGCAACAAGCTTGTTTCACCTGCCAATCCCAGCTCCCTCTCCCATCCCCCCACCCCCGCCCCACCCTACAGGCTGCTTTTTAAATTATGTGTGTTGGGTGTGTGTGTGTGTGTGTGTGTGTGTGTGTGTGTGTGTGTGTGTGTGTGTTTTGGGTGTGTGTGTGTGTGTGTTTTGGGTGTGTGTGTTCAGGTATCTCAGCCATCTGAGCATGTGGAAGCCAGAAGCCGATGTTAGTAACTCCCCACGCTATTGCTTGAGACAGAGTCTCTCACTGAACCTGAGCTTGCCAGTTTAATTAAGTGAGCCAGGCCCTGAGACCTTGGGATCCTTCTGTCTCTACCTGTCCCAGAGTGCTTGGGTGATAGATACGTGCCACCATGCCACACTTTAACCAGGTGCTGGAGGGGAAGGTCTCTCCATCATAGCTCCAGAGAGGATCTACAGCCCAGGAGGCAAAGGCTCACACCTGAGGATGTTTATATAATCAATTACCTCTGGTTAGGAGATCAAACCTCACCTCTCCTTAGGGAACTCAACTACTGATCCTGTGACACAATCAGAGGAAGACATCTCCACGTCATATATGTCTGGTTCCTTTCACCAGGGAGGAAGAGAATTTAGGGTGCTAGCAGTGGCATATGACTAGAATCTGGTTGACCTTTTGATACACGAACTTTAAGATCTAGAGAAACGTATTTAAGCTTTGTGGGCCTTGGTTTCCTCATATGTTAAATGAGACACACCTACACCATGAAGATGCTGGTAATTAAGCAAGATATGATATTGGCAGTTGTGCCAACTTGAGTTTTTCTTTCTTTTTTAATCATTTTTTACATCCTTTCTTGTTTTTTTTTTTTAATGTCCTGTCTTAGTTAGGGTTTTCTACTGCTGTGAAGAGATACCATGACCACAGCAACTCCTATAAAGAACACATTTAACTGGGTGGCAGCTTAGAGTTTCAGAGGCTCCGCCCATCATCAACAGGGCAGGCAGACACAGTGCTGGAGCTGAGAGTGCTGCTACATCTTAGCTTGTGGATTCCAGGAAGCTGACTGACTGCCACACTGAGGGAAGCTTGAGCAACAGAGACCTCAAAGCCTGCCCCTACAGCGGCACACTTCCTCCAACAAGACCACATCCACTCTGACAAACCCACATCTTCAATAGTGCCACTCCCTATGAGACTATGGGGTCTGATTACATTCAAATTACCACACATCCTGACCACTACCCCTCTCTCCTGTCAGTCCCCCCATTTCCCTTTTACCACCCCCATCCACTCCTTCTCCATTTCCATTCAGAAAAGGGCGGGTCTCCCATGGACATCAACCAAGCATGGCATATGAATATGCAGTAAGACTAGGCACCTCCCTTCGAGATGAGGCAACTCAATATGCGGAAAAGGGTCCCAAAAGCACGCAAAGGTATCAGCCCCTGCTCCCACTGTTAAGAGTCCCACAAGAAGACCATGCTACATAATAATATATATACAGAGGGCCTATATCAGTGCCCTGTGGGCTCCCTGGTTGGTTCAGGGTCTGTGAGCCCCCATGAGCCCAGGTTAGTCAGCTTGAATTTCTGTTGATGACCAGTGTAGATACCTTCTCAGCAGCCACTAAAGTCCCTCCAATGCCTCTGTGGCCCGAGACGAGCCCTGTTCTTATGCCTACATACACCGTGACCCTACTTTCCTTGCTTGGTCATTAACACTCTGTGTGGAGGGAAAGCATGGGAATCTCAGCAAAGACAGAGGCTGGGCAACAGTGAGGAAGTCAGGGTGGCCATTAGGAACCCCACCAACAGGTCTGTGTTTGTTTGACACCCCTTGTTTTGAGACGGCGAAGCGCTTTCTTGACACTGAGGCTCTGCCATACAATACGAAATGAGCACACATCCACAGTGAGCAGAGGGTGCTGCCACACCCCAGCTCAGCCTTGTGCCTATGAGCTCGGAAGCAGAGTTCCTAAGTAAGGGCTGGCCCCCATGACTCTCCTGACGCTTCCACGTCAAGGCATCAAATGCTGGAGTCGGAACGTGAGTAGGAGGAGAAAGAGGGTGGGTGGCCATGCAAGCAGACTGACATATTGCTGGAGACACACTTGGAACAGAAAGGGCAGAGACGTGGCTAAGGTGACCCCTGACAACATCCCAACCAAGCTCCCAACAACCCCCCCCCCATCCCTCCGCCATATCTAACAGGAAGCATCCCCTACTGCCCAACTGCTCTCCAGTTACAACTTCCAGGAAACTACTTCAGGAGGTGAGAGCATTTCCAGCAGGAGCAACAGTGTCAGGGAAAGGAAGTGCTGGCCTGCCCAGGAAGTTCTGTCAGGAAAGCCGTTGTCCAGGGCAGATGGGCCAGGCATCCTGAAGGAAGTGAACCACCAGCTGTCCCACACTTGGTGGCTGCTGCACAGAAAATAAGAGTCGCCTTACCTTATTGTGAACTTGAGGTTCCAAATTAAATTTGGCTAAAATAACTATTCGAAAGGAAGATATCTAGGCAATGCTATTATTATCCTCAGAGCTGCCCAGAGGCCCGGAGAGGGCCTCTCCACTGCTCTGAGAGTCAGAAGGAAGTCATGCCGTGAAAAGTGACCCGCTGAGCTTGTTCTGCTCTCTGCTTACTGATGGGGCGGCTCCTGGAATAGAGGGTTTGCCCTCACATCCATCAGCTGCCGTAGGTAGCAGAGTGGCAGCTCTTCAAATTTAGGATACAAATGTGATTGTCACTCTGCCTTGCTTTCATGAGAAGCAAACGGGTCTCTGATCTGCCTAAAACTAAGGAACAGCTGGTTCAGCCTCACTAAGGTTTCTAGTTGTAGTATTAAAAGTGGTGTCTGTGCCCATCCAGTATTCTTGCTACCCCAAGAGGTTCTCCAAAACATTCAAAGTGTGTGGTTAGACATGAAGTTGACATGAACCCTAGCCTTGATCCCAATGGTGTGGGATGAAGCCTACGGGGGTGAGGACCAGAGAGAGAGAGAGAGACAGAGAGAGACAGAGAGAGAGAGGCACAGAGAGAGACACAGAGAGAGGGAGAGATTCTCCCTCAGCCACTTCTTTCCTGGTGGCCTCTCTAGTTCCTGAGTGTCCGTCCTTGCTTCTTCTGGTAGAGAGGAGAATGCATCTGGGACAGAACCCACCCAGACCCTGTGAATGTTTCTCTTCGAATGTGGGGTGCAATAAAGGCTATCAGTGGGTTGGCAAAGCTTTGTAGTTGGCCATTTTAGTCCCCTCTGAGATTAAAGGAAGAAAAGATCCCTTCCCCACTATTTATTTTAACTCACTCAGATTATAATGTGGCCATCACTGACTTAAGCTGCAATGTGAGAGAAACAGTTATCACAAAGATATTGTTTCTCATCTTGCAAAGAATCTACTACTTCAGAGGTCAGGGGTTTTTATTCCTAGGAAGCTAAATGCTCATAATCCTCAAGTGCACCTTTCACCAATATGTGGATCCTGGTTGTAAGACAGGCATTGAAGATTATTACCCTTAGGGGTCTTGGGGAAATGTCTC